TTTTTAATAAGAAGATTTTTGTTCTGAGAAGTGTCAGGAATAGATGTAAGATTTCTAACTGAAAACGTTTTACATAACATGTCAACGGTGTTCCATTCAGTAAGTCTCGGGCGAAGCCGAGACGGGGGGCTGCTAGTTATTTTATTTATCATAAATAATTAAAGCGACCAGTAATTGCCCTACGTTGTGTAGAAATAGGCGCTTGCGTTATTATTTTATCAATTATATATAACTAAAGCAGCCAGTATTCATTTACGGTTTTTTGGGTTAGGCACTCGTTATAATTTTATTATTCATACAGAATCAAAGCAGCCAAAGCCACTTGCGTTATTATTTTATTAATCGTGAACAATTCAAGTAGTTAGTAAGCACCCTGGGTTGGGTGAGGTTAGGCGCTTGCGTTATTATCTAATATTATGAATAATCGATGCGACCAGTAAGCCCTCCAGGTTGTGTAGAAATAGTTACTTGCTTTATTATGTAATTAATTTGAAACAATTGAAGCAGCCAGTAAGCAACTCGGGTTTTTTTTAAGGAAAGGTGCTTGCGTTATAATTTTATTTATTATAAATTATGTAAGCGACCATAAAGCGCCCAGGGTTGTGTAGGGATAGGCGCTTGCGTTATTATTTTATAAATGATATCTAATTGAAGCAGCCAGTAACCTAGTACTGCAGTTCAATCAAAACCAATAAAAAAACGGTGAGTTTGATTGCACAAAATGAAGACCCAATAAAAATTTTATTGTTTCCTATTTGCCACTTATTTGGCATATTTATTTTATTTGAGTCTATAGTAAAAAGCCCATATAATTTTTTTTCAAATAATAGTTTTTAGGATCGTATTTACAGAGCCAAATAAATAGTTTATTGGAGTTGTAAATGACAGGACGTTGGATAGGCATAAATGAAAAGAAACGAAAGATAAAATTATTATATCTGTTAAATTAACTGCACTTTATTCAAGAACAGAACAACTCGCATGTACATGTTGCGTGTTCGAACGCGATACACACCTTATTCTTGGCGATTCAATTTTATTTATTATAAATTATGTAAGCGACCATAAAGCACCCAGGGTTGTGTAGGGATAGGCGCTTGCGTTATTATTTTATAAATGATATCTAATTGAAGCAGCCAGTAACCTAGTACTGCAGTTCAATCAAAACCAATAAAAAAACGGTGAGTTTGATTGCACAAAATGAAGACCCAATAAAAATTTTATTGTTTCCTATTTACCACTTATTTGGCATATTTATTTTATTTGAGTCTATAGTAAAAAGCCCATATAATTTTTTTTCAAATAATAGTTTTTAGGATCGTATTTACAGAGCCAAATAAATAGTTTATTGGAGTTGTAAATGACAGGACGTTGGATAGGCATAAATGAAAAGAAACGAAAGATAAAATTATTATATCTGTTAAATTAACTGCACTTTATTCAAGAACAGAACAACTCGCATGTACATGTTGCGTGTTCGAACGCGATACACACCTTATTCTTGGCGATTCAAAGCGAACTGGCTTAGGCCCTCAGAGCCTCGCATCACGCCGGCAACGAACTTGCCTGCCCGCGAAGCGTCCTACTCTACCGATGGTGGATCAGCGACCAGAACTTCGATCTCAATGTTGTTTTCATATCATACGAGTTTCTTTCCACGTCAAGGCGATTTACAGCCTAAACGGCCCCAGGCTTTCACCTGTGCACGCTAATTGACCTTCATAATAACCAGAACATTTCGCTCCTCGAGGCCCATAATTTACCAAGATTTTGGCTTGACGGCCGCAAATCTCGCGCCGATAAAGCGCCTCGACTCATGTTCATCGTTTTGCTGATTCACCAACTCGACTCTAGCTATCTCTGCTCTTGATCTTCCTTCGCACCATTTACAATCTTTTTGTGCTAACTCCTTGATTCACCAGTCTCGCGCATTTACAAGTTACGAGATATCGCTTACAGCAAATATACATACGCTAGCGCTCCCGATCCCTTACAATCTCACCCCTATACAAAATTCGATTAATTTTGTACTAAACCCTTTGCGCTAAACAGACGAATTAACTTGTGTACCACTCGTATCATTTCTCGCCAGTTTACGCGAACTTTGGCTGTTCTTACTACGTTGTCGGCACCTGGGTAAGTTTCCAGGATTTCCCCCATTTTCCAGGAGTTTTGCAGGGCCTGCAGATCTACTATAAGTACTAAATCGCTCGGCATTATCGGCTCGTTTTTCTCGTACCACTTTTGGCGCGCTTGCAGTGTAGGCGTGTATTCCCGCAGCCAACGCTCCCAAAATGAATCCGCTAGTGCCTGCACGACGCGCCACTGCTGTCGGGGGCACGTCATGTTCGCGTTATATGGACCTAGTTTAAAGCTTCCGAACGAACTTCCGAGGAGGAAATGGTTAGGGGTAAGGGCTTCGCGCTCGGATGGGTCGGCTGACACGTGCGTCAAGGGGCGCGAGTTCACTGAGTGCTCTATTTCAGCTAGCACAGTACATAAAATCTAATCAGTTGGGACTCTATCATTTAAAGTTTCATTCAATGCTACCTTGATGGAACGTATCAGCCGCTCCCATGCTCCGCCCATGTGCGGTGCGTCCGGTGGGTTGAAGACCCACTTCATGCCGTTTCTAAGAGCAAACGCGTGAATTTTTTGCCTGTCGATCTGCTCTAAACCCACGTGCAGTTCGGTGCATGCCCCTCGGAAATTCGTGACGTTTTCACTACACACCACTTTCGGTGCTCCCCGACGCGCCGATAGTCGCTGGAGGGCCATAATTGCAGCGCTTGCAGTTAAACTGTGCGCCACATCCAGAAACACGGCTCGCGTAGTTAAGCAAGTGAATATGACTCCCCAACGCTTGTCTTTACTGCATTTTATTTTGACGAATAAGGGCCCGAAGTAGTCGATCCCACAATGACTGAATGGTCTCTGCCCGTAGGCGAGCCGTCCTTCCGGAAGAGGCGCCATTAACGGAATCTTAGGTTGCGCACGTCGCAATTTACATATCAAACATTCTTTAATAATCCCTCTCAACGCGTTGCGTAATCCGAGTATAAAGTACTGCTGTCGTAATTCGTTAATCACTGTTTCTGAGTTGGCATGATAGTAGCGGCTATGATACCCCTTTATCAGTAGTTGTACGGCCGGGTGTTTTCCGTCGAGCACGAGCGGTACACTGTTATACACGATCTTTGTTATTTTCGTTATTCGGCCTTTTATGCGTAGAACTCCATTTTTATCTACGCCCGGTGTTACCTGTGTTAAACGACTTGTCCGTTTGACTGGCGTACCTTCTCGTAGCGCCTGTATTTCGTCAGGAAAACAGTCGGCCTGTGCGGCGCTATAAACGTACCCTTCCGCGAGTAACCGACTCTCGTATTCGTCTACCAGCGTCGAATCTCGAAATCTCTGAAGTGAGCCTGCCCTGTTTTGGCGTGCCGTGAACTCTAGCCAACGAACGAAATATTTACGGATCCGGCCTGCAACGATCAATAATCCTTACCAGCCGAGTAACCAACGGTGATGGGTAGACACCGAGTAACTAACGGTGATGGGTAGATACTGGTTTTGCGATACCGCGGCATAAACGTGCTGCTGTCTTCGTATTTCCATCACGTCTATTTCGCGCTTCTGAGCCCCCAAGAGTGGCTCCGGTTTGGGCCAGTGCTCTTCTATATCTTTTAAAAAGGGTGGGCCTTCCAACCATAGCGCCCTCGCCTCCGCCCCTTCGCACTCCCCACGCGTCGCGCAGTCAACCGGATTCAATTTCGACGGTACCCACCTCCATGTTGCTTTCTCGGTAAGTTCGCCAATTTCGCCGAGCCTGTGCGCGACGAATACTTGTCGAATACGGGGTTCCCCGTGGATCCAGTGTAGCATGGTACGCGAATCAGACCACAGGTACCATTTTGTACACTCTGTGTCCAGCTCCTGTGCTACACTGGAAATTAGGCGGGTCGACAATAACGCAGCTTGCAGCTCTAGCCGCGGAATAGACAGATGCTTGTCGGGAGCTACGCGAGACTTGGCCATCACTAATGTTACTTGGATCGTACCGTTGACTGCCTCGCTTCGAAGGTAAACTCCGGCCGCAAAGGCTTTAAGGCTTGCATCCCCGAACGCGTGCAAGCTCGCGCTCTTAAGTTTGCTACACTTGGGTGTTAGGCACCGTGGTATGTTAAAGTTCGGCAACTTCTGCACGCACTCTATCCACAATCTCTAGCCCTGCGCTTCCTCGTCTCGAAGTGTCTCATCCCAGTCGATCTTGCTTCGCCAAACGTCTTGCAAAACCAGTTTTGATTTTAGGGTAAATGGTGACAGTAAACCAAGCGGGTCGTATATCGACATCATAACGCGAAGATACTCCCGCTTAGTAGGCTCGCGGCACCCGTCGAGTAAGTCGCCTGGGATGAGTTTGACCCCCAAATTGAATCCTAATTCATCCGACGCCGTATCCCAATATAGACTGAGTACGCGCTGACTCTCCGAATCACACAATTTTTTGCGACTCCCTCCAGCGTGCATATCCCCCTCATCGGTGACTCCCGTTACTGCTCTTGGCTCGTTACTCGCCCAGCCGTGCATAGCAAAATTCGCGAGAGAATTTATTTTTACGACGTCCCGGATCAATCGCTGTACGTCAGACGTAGTTTCCCGACTCACGAGATAGTCGTCAACGTATGAGTTACGCACCATGCTGTCCGCGGCTTCAGGTTTAGTTTTCGCGAAACGACTATCGTTGATATTTTTGATGTACTGTGCGCTACATGGCGAGGATTTGGCGCCAAACACCAAGCACGTCATTTCGTATGTTCTGGGATATTCTGACCGGCTCGCGCCCCGCCACAGAAATCTCAGAGCCCGCGATCTTGTTCCACTACTCGCACACATAAATACATATCGCTAATATCGGCTTTGCAAGCTACAGCATACTGCCGGAATCGTATCAGAACCCCTGGAAGCGACTGTATCAGATCAGGCCCCGTGTCTAACTGGTCATTTAAACTTACCCCTGCTGATTTTGCCACTGCGTCAAAAACAAGCCGTACTCTATTAGGTTTTGAGGGTTTTGTGACGCCGAAATGTGGTAAATACCAAATGCGCGGCCTAGGGGACAGCGTAGCCGTTTTGTAGTAATCGGTCCATTTCCCAATAATAGAGAGCGGCAAATGCAGGTTCTCTTTCTAACTTTCGTACTAGCGAATAGAGTCTGTTAAGCGCCGTACGCATACTGTCCACAGCAGGGGGGCTCCGGGTATTCTAGAGAAGCCCCGTTTCTCACACCGCCCCGAGTGAGTGGCTAGTTTGTCTTAATATCTGCATGGCACGTTCGTGTGTTGCGTTTGGTCTTGCTATCTCGCGGACTCCTAAGCTCTCTATTGTAAAATACTCGCGAACTACCATGTCTATGTCAGAAGGCTCCCCTGAACTCTCCCCATCTAGCACACATATCGCTCTCGTCCGTGTCGCTTTGCGTTCGCAGTGAAAGCACCGCTTCCTGACGTATTTTACTTTGCACTGCAGGGTTGTAATCAAATCCTGATTATCAAAATCCGAAGATTTCCAAACATTTTAAAACATCTGAAAGTTCGGAATAAAATAATTTTCAAATATTTTAAAAACTTGTGAATGTTTGGAATGTAATTATTTTCAAATGCTTTAAAAACATATTTGGGAGACAATCTATACTGTTAACATCGGGGAAAGTATATAAGCTTTTTAGTTTGCATACGACCGTGCTTAAAACAACTACAATACTCCATTTCGGAGCCGTATCGGAGCGCCCGAGTAAGAGCAACCAGCCAGACACACCTCATACCAGCGGGCAGTCGATACGCGACGCGAAAAAAGACTCAACTGTAACGTTATCATACCCATCGTTCCACTAAAGTTAACGATTGCGAATAATTTTTTTAATGCAAAATGGGTATTCTTTAGTAAAGTGTGCAAGTTTCAGAGTTCTACGCTTTTCACCGTCGCATAGGGATTTAAAATAAAAAAAAACCTAACTTGGCTCCACATGGTCGTATCATGAAAATTTTTTTTTTTTAATTCGTAAAAAAATAAGTACAATGCATTGCAGTTAGTTATATACGTGCAATTATCAAAATACGTAAAAAAAATGCAAAAAACCGATAGAAAAAAAAAGTACTTTTTTCGGAGTCCGATTTCGGCATCAA